AAAATAATAATAATATTCTAATTTCTAAAATATTACATAAAATAATATGTATATGTACTATTTGTTCAATATATTATTTTAATAAAGTAATTATATAAACATAAAATTGACTAATTCATACTATATAATTGATCATATTTATTATAATATTATAATAAAAAGACATGAAAAGAGTGGCAGCACACGCGTATTTGTGTTCATTTAGTAGTTAATTACTGCCTGTCTATAACTCTTATTAGAAAAAAGGTTTGTGGGAGATAAGGGTGTGTTTGGCATGGAATGATTAAAAATGCTTGAAGACAAGAAGCGCAAATACAGCAGTGATGACAAGGTGGTAGATTAGAGGCACTGGGTCACCAAGGACTGATATGTAATTCTAGAGAATGCAGAAAATTCCCCTGATGTGACGTCCCACGGATAACAGAACTGTCAAGCAGTTGTAACAAGCAAACAGTCAATTTTAGGTCTATTTGGCAGGGTAATTCAGACTGAGTACCAAATCAGTGATTACGTTTTTCCCGAAATTACATTTAAAGAGTTTTGTTTACCTAAAAGTATTAATATATTGATATTCATATAACCGTATGACCTTATTCAGTCTATGGAACAAAAAAGGAGATGTTTTGAAGAATGTTAATACTGCTCTTTTCCATACAATGAAGGCAGATACTGTGGAGATGGAGATACTGTGTGTGAAGATGAGCTGAGCCAGGTAGGTTTGATGCTAATGATACCAAATGACAATGCTTCTTGCGTGTCTCATAATCAAGGTTGAATATGTTGAATAGGCATATATTCAAGAATGAGGTTTGACAGAAATGGCAGAGGTGACGAAGCTTATGAGTAAAGCTGCTCGATTATGGCAAAAATCATAATCATGATTATTGTGGTCAATGTTGTAATTACGATTACTTAACACAATATGGCTTCAAAAGACTTGAAATATAGCATGCAGGTCAAATAACCTACTATTACTACACTAATATATTCTAAATTACTATAATTTTATATTTAAAGAATTTACATACATGTGCATTATTGACTTTTTCCATATATATATATATAT